CAATGTCAATCTATAATATGTGAAGATGTTTTATTGTCATCTTACATCGATTATTAGCTATCAATATGGATATAAATCAATTGGTTAAGACATATGTTTTCGAACAAATGTTTAAAGTTTAAATCATCACTATGTAGGGTTGAACTAAGCACAATAATAATAATAATAATAATAAAAAAGAGGAGAGAAACAAAAACAAAAGAAAATTGATACATTACCACCTTGTAGTGTTTATATCAAATCTAAAACTTTTGTAATTAATTTAGACTTAAATATGAAAAATCTTTCGCTATTGAATCCCATGCAGGTCGTAAAAAAATAAAAATAAAAGAAAAATCGAAGAATGAAAGGACTAATTTGGTATGTTAGTTTTCTGGTTCTCTTCTATACAATTAATACTAAAGTTAGAGAAAGACAAACATGTAATATAAAACGATTTTATTTTCATTTTTTTATTTAAAAATAAAAATAAAAATATTATTTATATAGATACCATAATTATCTTCTTTCTTTTTTAAAGTAATAATAATATTTCAATATCAACTTCCAGAAGTATTTTATGTTTTTAAATTGTTGTTTGTATACCATACAATAATTATAGAGGAGATTTAGTAAATTACTCAGACACAAAAATAGAGCGCAATAAACAAGAAGCGTAGAAAGGTGACATATATTTGGAACATAACAAGAATAAATAATTAGTTAAATTTCAGATTTTGTTTATAAAGTTTTAAATATGTGTCTAATAAATGATTGTACTATAATATTTATTTAATAAATTTTTAAACTATCACTTTAGCAAGGGATCATTGTTGGATGAAAATTGCGTTCCTGCAAATTATCTTAAATAAATAAAAACTCAATTTTTAGTTTTATGTTTCTACACCTGATCATTTTATTTATTAACATTTTTTTAACTTTATGTTACAAAATTATTTTAAAATCCTAACTAAAATCCATGTTTTTATTGTAAAAAGTCATTTTTTATTTTTAGAAATCAAATTCACCTTGATTAAACTAATTTATCCCTTTCCAATTTTTTAAATTTAACTAAATAATACAAACATTCGACCAACATAAAACAAAATAACATGCTAAATTTACTTTTAAAAAAATAATAGTAATAACATACTAAATTTAAGTTTAATTTAATAATTCTTTATAACATTTTTACCAAGTAGTTCAAAGTTATAAAACTATTCACGTGCATCCACGTGCTAATAAACTAGTCCCTGTGCTAATGATACTTTCCAAAATTAAAAAATCTCAAATCTTAAAAACCCATTCATTTTCGAAACCCACTCATTTCTTCTTCCTCGTTTTTCTTTTCTTCCTTTGACCGTCGGTTTTCCTTCCTCCGACCCTCCGTTCCTCTTCTTCGACCGTCTGCCTTCCTCTCCGATCGGCTTCGCTTTTCTTTGTCGCAAGACCATTTCATCTCCGACCGCCTTCAAAAAGAGATTTCTGTCGGTTCTTATTCTCCGAGCGTTTCTGCCTGCCTTCATCTCCGACCAACGTTTGCCTGCCTTCATCTCCAGCCGCCTCCATTTTTTTCAGTCGCCAGAGTAGTTCATCTCTAAATTGAAAGGTTTGCATTCCAACGAATGTTTTCAATTTCTGATTTGGTGTGAAATACTGTATATGTGAGGATATATATAGTATAGTGATTTGATTAGGATATATCTTATAACTCAATTTGTATATACGCAGATATATACTATAGTAATTTTGAATGTATATATGCGGATATATAAGTAGATATATCTTATAACTCAACTTGTATATATGCAGATATGCGGACATATACTATAATGATTTTGAATGTATATATGCAGATATATAAGTGGATATATACTCTGATTTTGAATATATTTTTTAAATATGCGGATATATATGTTTATTGAGACTTCAAAAGATGTTTGTGTGATTTGAATTGTTTTCGAAGATTGAGCACCAAAGTGGCAGTGAATTAAGGGATTATGAATCTTTTTGAAGGAGTAAGTTAAGGTTTTGAAGGGGTGAATTAAGGGATTTGTGTTGAAAATTAGTATGTGGCCTACAATAATTAAAAGATTATGATAATAATTTATGGAATTAAATCTTTTATATTTAAAAAAAACAAATAACTATAATACATGTAAATGCAATAAATAAGGGTATAAGGTATAATCGGACTTAAAATAAAATCCTACATTCAGAAATCTAAAAGTGTAAAATTAAAAAATTTTGTGTAAATAAATTTCTAAAACAGCCAATTATATTTTATAGACCTTCTTCGAGATACATTTATGGTTCACCATCAACAACGAGTAAACCAACAAAATGGAAAAAAAAACAGCTAGAAATAGATAGGAAGGAAAAAAAAAGATTCTCCTCAAATCACTTGGGAAAAAAATAGATAAAAAAGTTTCAATATATGAATTAATTATTTATTACATGTAATCTTAATTATATTGATTTACTTATTTATAATTATAATTAATTAATTTCCTCATTTATTTAATAAAAAAATGCATGTTACGGACATTTTAGGGGAGAGAATAAAGACAAAATATACACCGTAGCAACTTGAAGAGTAAGAATTAAGTATTTGTAGCAAGTTGGGAAGTGGAATAGTGCTTACTGTTACAACATGGGAACACGGGAGTGGAATAGTATTTGGGGTGAAATAGTATTTACAATAACAAACTTGAGTTTATAAAATTATGAAACAAACGAGGGTTTATCTTAATAAACCCTACCCGCTGTTTTGAAAATGGGGAACCAAATATTCCCTTAATATTTTTGAAAAAGAGAAAAAAATATTTCTTTTATGCATTTTTCTCTCCTATTTATCGAAAGTTTAATGGTGGTCAGTTAGAGATAAACGATGACCTTTAAGTATTATTCATAAATTAATACGTATATTTCAAGAATAAAGTTATTTATATATAAAAAGAGGTAAAGTCTCGATAAAGGTTAAAATAGTTAATTTTTTAAGCAGGAACATATGACAAGCTAAAAAGTTCAAAGATTATTTTAAATGTTTTGAAAGTTTACAAATTGAAATGAGATTTATAAACATTAATGATTATGGTTGTATTTATTTAGTTATGAAATTTAAATTTTTTTTATAATTATGCTCCTACACTTTCAATTTGGACTCTATTTGATATTTGCGTGATGTGGCATAAGAAAATTGGCCATTTAACAAAATAAAGGTAGGCATTCACTTGTCTCTGTTTCCCTTGATTAATTCTAATAATAGAACATTAAATTATATTTTGATAAAATAATATAGAGTTAAATCTCGCCTGTGATATGACAGTTCAATATACAAATTTCAAAATTTAAGGTTTAGTCACAACAATAATATATAATAATTTGAGAGTGAATACCATAAATTCAATATCAAGCTGTATTTTGATAAAATATTTCAAAGTTTAATTAATCCCACCCATTGGCCATGTTCTTGGGGAATTATATTCGTCCACAAAAATATAAAAGCTGTAGTTTGATAAAAGGTGAAATTATAATCTCAATAGCAGGGATTTTAGCATGGTATTTATTTAGAATTTAAATTTTAAAAAATAATTTAAAATTATATTTTTATTTTCTTTGTGTCATCATCATATTACTATATATCATCTATTAATTTATTAAACTATTTGTCACATCATGCTTTATTGATAAATATTTAGGTAGGTTTTTCTTTAATAATGTCGATATTAAAAATTAAAAATTTAAAAACTAAACAATAAAATTGCAAAATATTTCTAAGACAATTTTTAAGTTTACTTAACAAATCTCAAATAGTCAATATTCTTTTTAGTACGATATGTGAGGTGGGGATCAAATTCCAACCACTTAGTTAGAATTATATATCAATTATTACAGTATGCTCCCTTTGGCCAAATAGTTAATGTTAGTACTTTTCTAGTTAGAATTTACAACTTATAATTTAAATATTATCAACACAAAAAAAGATAAAAGTAATGAATTTTATCTTTTAATTTTGATGGTAGTAATTATAGTTGGATGAGTTTGGCAATTTATTTACCCTCTAACTTCGACATCCCACTCTATTAGTCTGTTGCCAAAAAGAACACAGATCAATTAGTCAAAACATTACTTTTTCTTATAGGTCCAAGTTCAAATTCATCACTATTTTAACTTTTTTTTTTTAATTCATTAACTCATTTTCAAGTACATAATCCCTCATGCTAGGTAGTAGTTTTCACAGAATAGGGCAGGGACATGGAAGACTTCCATATCCTCCACAGAATGGGTAGGAATTCCATCTAGAAAATTATTTCCCACTTGTTATTATTATTATTTTAAATATTTTCACAATTAAATAATTTATAAAAGAAATTTATAATTAAATACTTAATTTTTCGAACTTCATATACCTGGTTAAATCTTAAATGAGAATCATTATCCAAAGGAAATTTTATTATTATTTTTTTTTGCAAAGTCAAAAAGTCGTCACGCAATCGGGGAATCAAATTTACAAATACATGTCAATTACCGTTAAACCGTAGGAAAAACCTCTCAAACTACCCAATAAAAATAATATATTATTTTTATCTGAGTCCAATCTAAATTTAGGTCTTTCTGTGTTTCTTTTTATATATATATATAATGGGGTCTTTAGTCCAATATATTTTAGTCCTCGTTCGGACAATGATGATAAAATGTCCTTCATTCTCAGTTCCAGGGAGCCTATCCTGTTTAAGCAATTCCTGCAAGCCCACCTCGTGAAGAAAATGTACACTCCTAGTGTCAAGTAACTACTTCTTTTGTTGTGTAAAAAAAAAAAAAAAAAAAAAGGAAGTATCTACCTCTTTTTGGGAAAGTTCCAAATCTCCATCCCATATATACCAGTGAAAAAGAAAAAGAAATTATTAAATTTGCTATCTTTGTTTTTTTTTTTTTTTTTGAATAAAGGATTAAAGTCGCTATCTACACTGTAACGTTAGATTTCTGTCTTATAATTATGGAATGGCCACATAAAACAAAGTAGGGTGAAGAAGAAGAAGACAGAGTCAAGAAGGTTTCTCATCTGTAGTCCACAGCTCCGAGCCTGAGCTCTTCTCCGATCAAATCTGATCAAAATTCCCGGTAATTTACTTTCCCTCCATCATCCACATCTTTCCTCCAAATTTTCATCTCTAAAATCAATTTCGGCATTTGTATCGTATGAAATCAAATCCACTAAAAGAAATAAAAACCCTAGACTAGAAGTTTCTTTGCAATCGACCCCTTTTAGTTTTCTGTATGAATTTTGATTGTGTCCTGAAATGGATCTCAACCATAACGATCTTTTACCAACTCTGCAAAAATAGTATATAATTTTCAAACAGCTAAGAAACAATCTACTTTTTAATTTTTTTTTCCCTGTAGTCCCTATTGTTTGTTTGTTTGTTCTTTTTAAATTTAGTCCATCGTGTTTCAAAAGTTTCGATTTGGTTCTTTTTTTTTTTGACATTTTTCTTTTTCAATTATACCCTTAGTGTCGATGACTGTTTAGATTGTTAATGATAAGCTTATATATGTCATTGTCATCATACTAAGTAAGTAAATTTAGAGGAGGAATTAGGCAATCTAAGAGGAAAAATTCGAAATTCAGAAAATTTTTTCTTTTAAGTAGCTTAATTCTTCGTTTAAGTTTCTAACAACTTATTAAATATCATGTTATGTACGCTTATTATTAGCCAATTTTGACATTCACAGTTCTCCAACTGAAATGTATATAATTGAAAAATGTTGAAGTGTTATAAGATTAAGACATAGTCACAAACACTCTGAATCATTATAAACTAAAACATACATTTAGCCAATTTATTAACGCATATATCCTCGATCAGAAGGTAGGGTTTCAAATTCCCACTTTCACATATTGCTATACTATAAAAATATACATTTATCTTTATCATAATTCTAATAACGGTATCTATATTTTTGGTCAGAGACAAGGCAAGCATCTTCTATGGAGTCAGAGACAGCGCAAGCATCTCCATTGACTCTACTGAGTGATATGGTCACAGAAGAGGTTAAGAACAATCCAAAGTTTCAGGAAACAGCCCAAAAAATTATACAAAATTATGGAGACAGGCCTACCCTTATGATCATTGCTAAAGCCTTAAATCATATTGCAGAGGAGAATGGAGATGTTTGGACATTAGGAAGAGCTTTGGAAGAAGTAGGCAGCCACTGCAACATGGGCACAGCACCAGAGAGTATAGCAATATTGTTGATGCAGTGCGTGTTTGGAATATTTCCAAGACGGGACTCGGCAACGACAAATTGTTGTTGGCATAGCAGACAGTTTTTCCGCGAGGACAAGGGAATCCATTACAATGCATTGATTACAAACTGGATCTTGGAAGGATGCTTTGACTCTATCGATCGTGTCAAGAACGCATACTATGAGGGGTATCGAGTTCTAATGAACCTTGTAGAGTGTGGCCTGCTCAAAATAGAAGAAAATCAAGATAATGCTGTTGTGGTGGAGAAACTGGTGCGTCGTGTCCCTGATAATCGATATGATGGATTCATCTGGAAGCCTACTTTGGGGTTAAATGGGGTATATGATGCTGTAAGTTGCGCATGTCTTGAAAGTGTTGGCCCTATGGATGGAATGATCAAAACATGCGATGAAGGATGGGAAAAAATTTTAGTGCTGTTGGTTGATGGAGATCATCTCTGCCGAGAGGTTATCGAAACGTATTTTCAGTCCCTGGAAAATCTCCAGGTTCTTGCCATTTTCAGTCCTAGGATCCAATCACTGCCCAAAAGTTTAACCAAGTTGGAAAACCTTTGTTTTCTTGTGCTTAGAGATTGTGATCTGCTAGAGAAGATTGACGGCCTCCAACATCTTAAGGCATTAACCGTTCTTGAGATATCTGATGCTAAAAGCCTCAAGGACATCCCAAATGGTCTATTTGAGAATTTATCCAAGCTCCGAAGCCTCAACTTATCTGGAACTGGAATTCAACAACTCCCTTCCTCCCTTTCAAACCTTCGTGAACTGCAATCCATCAACCTTCAGCGTTGTTGCTACCTAAAATCGTTGCCGATGTTGAGAAAACTCGAGAAGCTAGAGTTGCTTGATGTTACAGGTGCAACCTCACTTGAAAGTTTTGCAGATAAAAGCATAGGAGCAGTTAAAGTTCTTCAACTGCTTGACCTTTCTCAAACTATAGTTGGACATATTCCATTTCTTAAGGATCTTACACAGCTATCTCGTGTATCGTTAAGAGACTGTACAAAACTCATCAGACTGCCGAGCCTTCGAGGTTTGAGTGGGCTCCAAGTTCTTGATCTCTCTGGTGCTCTAATGCTAAATGTAATTCAGGATGACATTTTCCCAGAAGTTAATGACCTCAAAATCCTTGACCTTTCTAGGACTGCAGTAAGTTGTTTACCTTCCAGCATTCGTAACCTTTCCAATCTCGAGCTGCTCAATCTCTCTGAGACATTAAACTTGGTTGAACTTGAAGATGATACCTTCAAAAATATGAAATGCCTCCGTCACCTTGACCTCTCGAAATCTCTGGTTGGGAACCTACCTTCCCTTTCCGACCTTGTGAACTTACGAGAGCTTAAACTACAAGAATGCAAGCTTCAGAAGTTACCGAGTTTGATTGCCCTCGGGAAACTTGAAGTCCTTGATCTGTCAGGTTGTGTTTCTTTTGTGGCATTTGAAGATGAATCCTTTGGCTCCAAGACCAGTCTTCGGCTCCTCAACCTATCAGAAACTATGATTGAAAAATTGCCTGCGCTATCCGATCTCGACAACCTCTCTCAACTCCTACTGTTAAACTGCATCAAACTTACTAAACTTCCACGTCTAAGTTCTCCTAAACTTCAAGAGCTCAATGTTTGTGATGCAACAGAACTAGTAGAATGGGAAGCTAAATTGCCGGATCATATGGATCAATTGAAGATCCTCAACTTATCAGGAACAAGACTAATGTCCCCAACCTTGAACAATTATACCAACCTTAGAGAGCTTTCTCTGAGAGGCTGCAAATTGCAGACAACGTTACAATTGGATAATCTCACAAAGCTCGAGGTCTTGGATTTGTCAAAGACGCGTATCAAATCTTTATCGTCGATCACAAGACTTTGTAACCTTAGACAACTTCTGCTCACGGATTGTTCAGAGCTACAAGAGATTCCTACTCTAGAACCACTTGCGAATTTGGAGGCTCTTAGTTTGCAAGGGACAGGAATCAGGAAGTTCCCTTGTCTAATGGCCAAGTTGAATCGACTAATGCACCTCGACTTGCCAGACTCTGCAGACAATCTCGAACTTGATTGGACAGACATAAAATCGCTTCCTGGTGAGTTGAACTGGGATCAATGTGGTATGCCTACTAAATTTCAAAACGTTGAAAACAGGCCCTTCATTATTGTGAGAAATGTGGATTCTTTCAGAACTATGAAGGAAATACCTGACTTATGGAACTTATGCTTCAAGAAATTTTTCATCTCTGTATGCCCTTCTTTAAAAGAGGGAGAGGAAGATGGAGAAATCTATGTCCTTCAAGATAGGATTAACTTTAAAGATATCTACTTTCATGTCATATCTTATCAAGATAAGTATGCCCCATTTCTGGAAATCCGCAGATTCAAGAGCTTTCCCACTGGTGTTGAAGACGCCCTTATGCAAGTTGAATATGTTTCCTTAGTTGAAAATGAATTTATAAAAAGCTTATCTGAGTTGAGCAATGTGAATGCTTTGAAAGGCTGTTGGATTTGGAGTTGTACCAACCTGGAGAATCTAATGCGAGACGAGGATAACCTTAAGTCATTGGAATTTAATCTACAGATTCTATGGATATCCAACCTTCCTGTTTTTAGGAGTGTGCATTCTACTGGCTGCCAATTCGAGAGTTTTAAAAATCTCGTACAGTTGTATATAGATTGTTGTCCATTGCTCGAGACTCTGTTCATTTCCTCTAAGCTTTCGAAGAGCCTTGAGATTCTCCATGTAAAATTTTGTGATAGATTGCAGAGTCTGTATAGATGTGAATCCAAAGAAGAGTGTACTTTAGAGAAGTTGCACGAGCTGACTCTGGTAGGATTGCCTGAGTTGACCGACACTGGCCTTAAACTACCGTCCTTGAGAACTGCTTATATTGGGAACTGTCCTAAACTTGGAGTTAGAGACAAAATACTTGAAAAATTTGGACTGTCAAGTTCAGGAGTTGAATGGGTCTTAGACTAATGAGCAATGGGATGGAAACTGGGAGTAGGATCTTTGTCATTAAAGAAATGTAATTTCGAGAAACAAAGACAGTGAAGTATCATTTTACTGCCAGAACTTACAGGTTAGGTCTATTTAACATGTTGTTACGTTACTATTTCGTCGTAAATTTTATATTTTAATTGATTGAATTTTGTCGTAAATTCACTTCTTCCAGTTCTGATGAAGGTGGTGGATCATCAATCAGTGAAGCACTTCAATCTCCATTAAGCCTGCTTCTGATAGATTTGTAAGGAATGAGCAAAAAAAGAGAGCACAAAAAGAGTAGCTGTTATGTATTCTCTTCACCAAGGGAAGAGTTTCCTTCTGTAATGTAGTAAACCTCAATTATAAAATTGCAAGTCTAAGTTCTAAAACTCATTGAGATCGTTTTCGAATAACTCTATTGTGATTGCAGTGTTGACCTCGTCCTCGTCCTTGTCTGCTACCCTTTGTCTGATGGCAGCCATGAAATGAGTTTTTAATACGACGCCCTACGGCAGGTACTATGATGGTGATGTGTGACTAGAAGTTAGTTAATAAGGGTACAGCATAAACTTGCTGAAATCTGCAGATGTTTTACAATATTGATTACAAATCTCATATAAGGAAAGAAAAAAATATTGGAATTGGAGGTAAAAATTTGGCAAGATATTTTTTGAATGAGCTGGGACTTTTATCTCTTCCTCACAACTGGTTTCTTATTTTTATTTATTTTTTTAAATGTCAATTGATTGCGGGAGAAGACCATGGTTTGACGGCAGATCTACTGATTTACAGGCATGAGTTTTTGATAAAGATCTTGATTCTAGACTGTCATTTTTATCCTTCTTTACAGCTAGCATGGTTTGCTTTTGATCTGGTGTTTGGTTGTTCTTCTGTCATCATCTGGAGGTGTTATTCTGACATGAATAGTTGCTGCCTTGCTTTGAATTTTTTCAGGTTATAGAAACATGATTCACTTGATCACTAGTATAGTTAGGCGAGAATGTAGAAAGTTTGGGTAGATTTAGGAATTGCTATCCCAGTAGTAAATGTTCAATGTTTTTAACTCTTGAATTTGACCTTTGTGTAGTAGGCCAAAAGACTTTTATGCAAAATACTCTCTGCTTTAGATATTAATCTCTTTTTTTTATCAGAAGCTAATTTTCTGTTTTTTCAATAAGTGCTATTTTTCAATTAGGTGTATTATATTGCAAACCTCACTTCGACAAGTTTTGTTTACAATGATTGGAAGCTTGAAAAAACTTTTGAAGGTACTTGGCTATTGTTGAGCCTTTTTCACCTTAAATTTGTAGTTGCTCAATTGGTGTGGATAAAATATATGACAAGACTAACTTTATCTGCATGAGCTCAGATTTTTACAAAAGGTTAAAATGTTGCTTTTACATTGATAAAATTTATGTGTAAAAGGTTTTTGCACAGGATACTATATCAGCTGAAGATAATTCTTTTGTTGAAAAGTAAAACTTTCTATTGAGAGAGTTAAATAACAGAGGAAACCATCCAAGACACCCAAACAAGGTAAGTTTGGCTGCTGTCTAATGGTAACAAAAGTAATAGAATAATATTCATTAAACAGTTTCTAATGTGATATACTGCTTGGGATACTAATTCCTTTTGTATGCATAATGTGCCTTTGATTTTGAATACTACTTTCTATACTCGGAGGGCTGAACATTAGGAGGCTTCGGGAAGGAAAAACTTTCTAGCTGTCCTAATATGTTGAGAAATGTTGATTTGCTAGATGTCATTATATGTTGGTTCACTATCCGTGAGCTACATCAGTGATTGAATTGCTAATTTGCAGGGGATTTGATAGCTTGTATGGATTGACTTGGCTTCTTAGAGAGATGTTGCTTAGGTGGATGTTCCTGACTTTGACTACCTAGTTGTTCTAATAATGCGAGTACTGATGAATCCTTTAGCTACATTAAGACAAATTGTTAATTTGATAAGAAAAAATAGTTCTCTGGATTACTTTTAAAGAATTAATACAAGGCTATAAATAGCAATCACACAGAAGAAACTAAAACGAAATTCTTGTCTATTAGGATAAAAGAAAACCCTTACCTATTAGAACAAGAAAATTCTAACCTAAATACAATAGGAAACTTTTCAAATAAAATAAAATATAATTTAACACTTTCCCTCAAGATGGTAAATGAATATTTTCCATTCCCAGCTCGTTAACCAAATTGTTTAAAGTTGTTCAATCCTTTTGTAAAAATACATGCTCTTTGATTATTTGTTGGTAAAAATGGAGTATATATAAGGCCGTTGTCCAACATGCTTCGTTATATCATGTTGAACCTGATTATGTGCAATACTGATGACAAATTTGTTATCACAATAAAGTTTCATAGGCGCTTCCTGTGGAATCTTCGAATCTTCTAAGATAATCTTTATCCAGAGTAATTCATAGATACCCAATATCATTGCTCTAAATTCTGCTTCTGAACTTGATCTTGCAACTACATTATGCTTTTTACTTTTTCATGTCACTAAGTTTCCACCTAAGAAAGTACAGTAGTCAGAAGTTGATTTCCTATCATCTATCAATCTTGCATAATTTGCATCTGTATAAGCTTCTAGATTGAGTTTCTTGCTTTTTTTAAATAGTTATCCTCTCCCAATAGAGTTCTTCAAATAATGAAGTATCTGGTACATTGCTTAAAGGTGGACTTCTTGTGGACTATGCATAAATTGATTCACTACTCCTACAGCATATGCAATATCTGGTCTTGTATGTGAAAGATATATTAGTTTTCCAACTAACCTCTGGTAAGTTTCTTTATTTACTGGAGGACTTTCTCCAGCTGCACATAATCTATGATTTTGATCAATTGGTGTTCCCATTGGTCTGCTACCAAGCATTCCTGTTTCAGAAAGTAAGTCAGTCATGTTGTGATAAGAATAGATCTTATTTAGAATAAGCTACTTCTATCCCAAGAAAATATTTCAGTTTTCCCAGTTCTTTAATTTCAAACTCTTGGATTGAACAATTTGTCTATTTATCTTGCTCATTATTATCATTGCTAGTGACGATAATATCATCCACATAAACAATCAATGATATTACTCCCGCGGTAGTAGAATGTTTTATAAACAATGTATGATCTCCTCGACTTTGTTTATGGCCCATCTTTTTCATAACCTGATAAAATCTACCAAACCATGTCTTAGAAGATTGTTTTAATCCATACAATGCTTTTCTCAATTTAAAAACTTTATTCCCTGATTGCTCATACCCCGGTGGAATCTCCATATAAATTTCCTCTTCCAAATAAAAGCATTTTTTATGTCATATTGTAACATGTTTTATCTATGATTGACAACAAGGGATAGAAGTATTCGTACTGTGTTCATCTTGGCAACAGGCGCAAAGGTTTTTATAAACACTAGGGTTTGAGAGAATCCAATGTCAACTATTCTCATTATTAAAGTCTATATATATAGACAAATATACAAAGTTGACTTAATCCTATAGGAAGAGGGTAAAAGACAAATTATTACATATCAATACAAGAATATAAAAGTATACTAATATATATATATACTCTAACACTCTCCCTCAAGTTGGTGCATAATCATGTCCAGTTTGTTAGAGAGACAATCTATTCGTGCTCCATTCAATGTTTAGTAAAGATATCTCCTAACTACTCCAGTCTTCACATATCTTGTAGCCAGCAATTCTTGCTGTATTTTTTCACGTACATAATGACAATCAACTTCAATGTGTTTGGTTCGTTCATGAAATACTGGATTAGATGCAATATGGAGAGCTATTTGATTATCATACCAAAGTTTCATAGGAGTTGTGATGCCAAATCCTCATTCAATCAAAAGGCTGATATATCCATACTAATTCACACACCGACTGTACCATAGCTCTATATTCTGATTCAGCACTCAAACGTGACACCACATTTTGTTTCTTACTTTTCCAAGAAACTAAATTACCTCCGACAAATACACACTATCTTGAGGTTGATCTTCTATCTTCCTTAGAACCTACCCAATCAGCATCTGAAAAACATTTAATATTAAGATGATCATGATCTTTATATGACAAACCACGTCAGGAGCATCTTTCAAATAACATAGAATATGTTCCAATGCGGCCCAATGATCAATCGTAGGAGAACTCATAAACTGACTCATAATCTGAGTCTAGTATAGGAGGTTAGTAAGAGAATTAGCTTCCCTACTAACCTCCTATACTTCTCAGGATCTTTCAATAGTTCCCCTTCCTTTGTAAGTTGTAAATTAGGTATCATTGGGGTACTACGTGGCTTAGCAGCAGATCAAGTACATATTATCTCTATGATAAGAGAATTCCCTTCTTACTCCTTATTACCTCAAGTCCTAAGAAGTATTTCAGCACTCCCAAATCCTTGGTATGGAATTGACTACGGAGAAAAGTTTTGAGTGATAGGATGTCTGATGAATCATTACCGGTAATCACAATATCATCAACATATACAATTAGTAAGATAACACTAGACTCAGATTGTTTATAGAAGATAGAATGGTCCGACTTACTCTTCTCTATTCCAAAGTCCTTAATCACCTGACTGAATTTTTCAAACCAAGCTCGTGGACTTTGTTTCAACCCATATAAGGATTTACGAAGACGACATACCTTTCCATTCTCCCCCTGAGCAACAAAACCTGGTGGTTGCTCCATATAAACTTCTTTCTTGAAGATCACCATGAAGGAGGACATTTTTAATATCAAGCTGATGTAAGGGCCAATGGTGAATAGATGCCAAAGAATTAAATAAGATGACAGAAGCCAATTTAGTAACCGGAGAAAAAGTATCAGAATAATCAATTCCATAAGTCTGCGCATGTCCTTTAGCAACAAGACGAGCTTTCAAACGGGCAATTGATCCATCAGGATGAACTTTAACAGCAGACACCCATTTACAACCGATAGGTTTATTTCCTACAGGAAGAGACACTAAATCCTAAGTACCATTGTCACCTAAGGTAGTCATCTCCTCCAACATAGTAGCCCGCCAACCAAGATGAGACAAAGTTTCATGAACAATTTTAGAAATAGATACAGACTCAAGAGATGCAAGAAATGAACAAGTAGGTGAGGACAAATGGTTATATGAAACAAAAGAAGAAACAGGATAAGTACACTTACGCTTACCTTTTCGAAAGGGCAATAGGAAGGTCATCACTCGTTCCTGGATCCACGGACGAAGAAGCTACTGGTATAGGGCATGAGTCTGTAGGAGGTTGTCGGTGAGAATAAACTTGAGTAATAGTGGGGAGAGAAAGATCAGGCGTAGAGGGAGATGTATTGCTAGGAAGCACTTCAGTAGAAGTAAAGACAATGAAATAGACAAGAAAGTCATCATTTGTGAATGCTCCCCCTAACTGGTACTCAAGGATGATGAAAA